TTAGCAAATTTCCCTTTTTTTTTTTTTTTTGTTCTTTTTTTTTAACACATTTGAAGGGAGCAGTTTATGTTAAGATGTGGGTGAAAAACCCCAGTGCTGTTGTATTCACAAACCTGGTTCCAGTTTATCTACAGTGTACGAGTTTGACTGTGGTCCAGGGCTTTTGGATGCATTTTACAAAAACCTGTAATATCAACTGCAACCAGTGACATCAACCCAAAATGTGTCCTGAAGGTCTGATTGTCAACGGTCCTATGAGTGAAACATTTCCTTTCTAATGACATTTTGTAAACTTTTGCACAGTTTTGCATCACAATGTATTCTTTCAGAGCTCAAATCCCATTACAAGCATTTTCTTGACCTCTGTTTTTATTAGGGCCCCTATTAGCTGATGTAGAACATCCACTACTCTTCATAGGGTTCATACAAACATTAAAAGCATAACAAGAAATGATACCTGTAATCAAAACAACCACATGAATTGAAAACAAGAGAAAAAATATAATTCCTATATCCAAAATGTAACTACATTATTTTAGCTAAGTAAGTTGACCATACAAACATTTAGGAATTTTCAATATATGAATGTTTCTGAAAATAGCAAGGAGTGATGCTGTCAGCCTCTCCTTAACTTTTAACCAGGAACGTTTAACAGGCTCATTGTTCACTTTTGACCTTAGCGAACATTGAAGAGCAAGACAAGCTGCTCTGTTCTGAGCCAGCTGCAAGTTTTCCTAAATCCTTCTTTGCAGCACCTGACCAGGTGTGGTATTAGAAAAGCAGAGCACCCCCTTATAATAGACATACTCCTCCCCAGATTTACAACAAGAATCTACATGCTTTGTCCAGAACAGTTTACAATCTAGAAAAACACCAAGAAGCTTTGTTTCTTCTACTTGCTCAACAGGTACATTATTCAACATCAGGTCCAGTTGAGGTCTGGAACTGGTTAGTACCAGATACAATGCTTTTAATCTTTGGTATGTTTAAAACTAATTTATTGCTAGTAACCCATTCTAGTACTGTCTGCAGCTCTTTGTTGAGTATGTGTAATATTACTGTATCATCTGCGTACATAGAGCAGCCACACAAGTGGCAAATCATTAGTGAAAATGGAGAAAAGTAAAGGGCCACACAAACATCCTTACGGATTTCCAAACTCTACATACTTTTCTTCTGAAACACTTCCATTAAAGACAACTGTTTATGTTCTATTGTATAGATTGTTCTCTATCCCATGATAGGGCAAATGCAGCAAAACCATAACACAGTACTGAAATACAACAAAATTGCTCCACCACATTCTGCTGATTCATTTCTTTCTGACAGTCCGCTGTCATTTCTTTGAGTGTTGTACATGTTGAATGACCTTTCCTGTAAGTGTGCTGATAGTCACTTATCAAAGTGATTATCATAATGAGAAACCCCCCTTAAACAACTGACTATAGCTATAATTTAACGAAGCATGTCACCAGTGTCCTGGAGAATGTTTCTATGTTCAAAGAGTGGTAAAATTTCAGGAAATGTGAAATCCACTGAGTTAACAGATCTTGTGGATGTAAGACATCTATTTCAATGCCTTAATATTCATGCTGGCCACTTTGCAACAAAGTAGACAACAAATATATCACTCACTCATGAAACCATAACTGAGGTGCTGTGATCCTTAACTAAATGCGTGCATGGGAACTGCAATGACCAGGGGGTCTCGCTGCACAAACACAACAAACGCTCAGACTCTATTTCACTACACCTGTTTCTCTCATATGAACACCCACCCATACACTGACAGACACACACAAACACATGTGGTGCAGTAGTGTCTTACTTTTGGTGGTGCTTCATCAGACCCTCCAGAGTCCCAAGAAACAGTGACCTGCCTCCTCATCTCCATCCTGTTCCTCTCCTTCTGCTGGATCTTCTCCTCTTCTAATATAGTGCTGGAAACAAAGGAAAAGACAATGTAACACAGAAATGGTACTGGTATTACGAGTTACCCACATTTTTTGGAACAGTGTTTTTCAAGAAGCAAACTATAGGCTTAAGTAATACCTCCAGATGGATGTATGAAAACACACACAGACAACCCATAAACACACACACGTGTCAAAGTTTCACTGCTCCACACACACTGCATGCACGGAGAGCTTTCATCACCCCGTCTGTACAGAGCGTCAAAACACAAACTACTAAACTCAAAAGAAAAACAAGCTACATTTTGCTCAGTCTCTCACTACTGCAACAGTTCATCGTATCTGAACACCCAAATAACTCCCACTAAAATTCAAGCCTGAGGCAACAGTTTTAGCTTCAGATGCTTGCAAACCAAACTGTGAATGTCTCTGCCTGCCTTGCATTAGTGCCTGGATGGGCCGCTGTTACAGTGTTTATGTCTTAAAAACTAGTTAATGTTTCAACATTGACCCCTCATTGTACTGTATATTCACACCTAGTACTGAGATCAGGCCCGAAAACCTGCTACAGCAACTAAAGCATTAAATTGTTGGGTAATGTTTCTTTAGAACAAGCTGAATCACTTGAAGGTTTAGCACTGTCCCATGCCCCTAACTCATCATTCTTTAGGCATAATGTTGCCAAAGATACCACACAAAATTGACTCAATAAATTACTCACACTGACCTGCTTCCTGGGAAAGCTGCTGCTAAACGAAATGCAGAAAGGTGCTGCTGCTGAGCAGTTGACAGAAAACTGAACACACACTCTCCACCAAGTCACACTCTTTTTCTGCTCGCCTTTCCTCAACAAGGGAGACAGAGAGAGAGAGAGAGCTATTCCTAGTAACATCCCTCGCTCCTGTTCTGTTGTCTCCTGCCGTGTATGTGTGTGTGTGTGTGTGTCATTGCACCTGTCCATGTCAATCTCTTGTCAGGTACAGTTGTTCTTCAACACCACAGCGCAGGGCCACAAACACTTTTGTACAAAATAGTATCAGTACTGAAGGAGAAACAGATCCACCAACACAAAGAACACCGCCTTAAACATTAACTGATAGGAGCAGATGGTCAATAACTTGCTTAATAATGATTAAAAAGTAATCATTGCATTAATTTGTTAAAGTTTTAATAATACATTAATTGTTTTCTTATTTTACAATAACTGTCTGGCAGCCACTGGTAATATCTTTTGTTTCCATTCCAACATAACAATTTACACAAACAGCAAATGATTATTATTATTATTATTTTTAACTTTACTTAGCTTGATGATAATGATTTTATTAAATGTCTGAACTTTAATTTATTTATACTTTTCCAAACCAGTGACACAGTTTTTCACTTTTAAAATATTTTTAAGTTGTTTTTTTTCCTGTGTCTTGACCAAACCTATAAGAGGAATGCTATAAACGGGCTTCTCATTTCTTCTAAAGGTTCTTGTCTCCAGGAAAAGTATTTGTTTCTTAACTGTAATAATCCAATGAATTAAACAAATAAACACAGCCAACATTAAAACACACAACAGTTTGTATCCAAATAACAAAAAGGGCCTCTAATTTGTAAAGGCATTTCTGCTGAAGAGTAGTGTTTTTCTAAGTGCACTGTGCCTCTGGCTGTGCCACCTAATTGCTGCTGAACAAGCCAAGCTATTGCAACGTGATCCAAATGTAAGCAGTCATCAATGACTTTGCCTACCTTGCTTCATACTTCAAAAGAACATGACATCACCTAAGAATACATGTGGTGATGACAACATCAGCACCTGGCAACATGGACGCTAACCGTCTCCTCCACCACCTACACCACATCACTACCTGGAATAACAACACCCATTTAGTTTATTTACTCAGCCCGGGCAGACTGCACAGCCTCAGACCTTTTGGCAACACTCTGCTTCACTCTCATTTAGTTCTCACCTGAGACCTGCCTAGTATTACCACTACTGAGCAGCAGGACTGATGTACAACATCTGGGTTCACATGCAGAGTTGTAATCTATTAGTTTCGTGCAGCTTCAGATTAATACCAAAAGGCAGGATGACCAGCACTACACACTAATAAACAAAAAGGTTTTAAGATTAATACAGGAACATTGCTTAATTCCAGAGGTTTTCTCAAATCTTAGTAATATCTAATGACCAATAGAGCAGTCTCTAAACTAAGTTTACAAAATGCAGATTCAATACTGTATAAGTAAGTAAGTAATATGTGATCATATCTTTATATCGTTACAAGGACTTGAAACTAAGCAAGTATCCACCCCATGCACACATTATATTCATTTCACCTTGACATGTATTATTCTGTCAGACATCCTTGTTACATTGCAAGAAAGTATATTCACCCAGAGCATCAAATGATGGCAAAATAACAAAAGAGCAGCAACCAGTGAATGCAATTTACTAATCTACATAAATATGAGATATGCTAGAAGAGACTCAGACAACAACTGGAGGCTGAAAGGTACAGTATGTAAGAGACCATACTTTACCTTCAGATAGGACCAGTCTAATTACACAGGAGTACACCCCCAAAGTCATGATGGGCCAGTGGCATTCAGCACTGATACACTACTGAAGGTCAGTATGAAGAACTGCTCAGGATCCCAGGAGCACTGATGAGATAAACCTACATCTCCTGGCAGGATGCCACAAATACACCCTGTTGTAGCTGAACCAGCCCACCAACACTATAGGCTCCAGTACATCACCACACACAGATTTCACTATCAGGATACTATGATTTGTTTATTAGGAAGCTGGGTCTGCTAGCTTGGCTGCAAGAGTATAGACTCTACAGTAGTTCTGCTCGCCTTTTTCCTTCCTTCTTTCATTCTATAACTCACCTCCCCCACACCCTCGCATCCTCTATTGGAAAGCTGCTCCTGGCAGCTGCCCACTTTGTAAACACACACACACACACACACACACACACACACACACGTTGGTCCACTGTCTAGGAAAACTGTTGCAGCAGCTGAGAGCTGCATATTTGGCAGAAGAGACCTATAATTGATATTATGATATAAAAGCTGGCCAGACTGAAAGCAAACCAAACTGTATAACCTTAAATGGCACGAGTTTCTCCTATTAATAGCCACCGACCACAGTGAACATTGTCAATATTGACATGGTTTCCAAGACACTGCTGAGGCACATTAAGGGCTCCTCAGTATCAGAGCCAATTAAAATAAATGTTCTTACTTTAGTCAGCTGTGCAACGAAATGCTGTTCACATGTACTTTCCCAAACTGGATTTTCAGCCCATTAGACATGTCAGAGTAATGAACAGACCTCCATAATACAGTCATCCGAAACTTGTTCAGAGCAAAAATAAGAACGTGAGATCAGGAGGAATTAATAAAAAGGTCAAAGAGTTCAAGAGAAGAGGACAGAAAAAGCACAAATAGTAGAGTTTGAAAAGAAGGAAAGAGAGGTACGGGGAGGAGAGAAAGGAAAGCAGACAGAGAAAATTGGAGGGGAATAATATTGAAATTTAAGGTGGGAGTCATGCTGGTTTTGAGCAAACTCATAAAACCACTGGAGTTAAATACGCACACATATTTTCCAGTTTGTGTGTAAGAGAAAGAAAGAGCAAAGGTGGAGTGAGAACATGCACGGTGAAGGAAACGACAATGGCATCATGTTGTCCTGCTAAAAATCTATTTGTGAGTAGAAATATTTTCAAGCTGCAACACTAACTTCTTCTTCTCTTGACTGTTCCCATTAGGGGTTGCCACAGCGAATCATCAGTTTCTACCTAACTCTATCCTCTACTCTCGCCCCAATTAACTTCATGTCCTCTTTTAGCACATCCATATATCTCCTCTTTGGCCTTCCTCTTGACCTCTTGCCTGGCAGCTCCATCTCCAACATCCTTCTACCAATATAACCACTATCCCTCCTCTGCACATGTCCAAACCATCTCAATCTGGCCTCTCTGACCTTGAGTCTACCTGCCTACTCCTACCTCCACTCTTATATGCAACTCTATGTTCCTCCCCCTTCTGGAAATAGGTGTTAACTACAGCCATTTCCATCCTCTT